ATGAAACTTCGCTATTATTCCTTTTTATAGCAACATTGATATTTCGATTTTAGTGGAATACTTGTAGCTCAAACTTCCCTTTTCAAGGTCCCAAAATTTTATTTCGTCGTGTCCAACTGGTTTAGTTTGCAGTCCTGGTATTTCAGGGGTTAGAAAGTACGATTGCAAATCGTGAGGTCGCCGGTTCAAATCCGGCCCAGGACTTTTTTTGGTTTTATGAGCTTTGAAATTGAATTAAATACAACCAACAACTTATTTTTGCATGTCATCGAGATTTAATCCTTTAAAAAGATCCTTTTATGCGGTGGCGCGGGGCAAAAACCCTGGAATTTACTCGACATGGGATGAATGCAAAGCAGCTGTCGAGGGATTTTCTAATGCAAAGTACAAGAAATTTAACACGCGAGAGGAAGCAGAAAAGTTTGTGAAGAATCCCGTGATATCTTCCGTTAAATCCACTTCTGATGTATCACAAACGGATGTCGACCACATGCCTGAAGATGGTCTGGTGGTTTTCACAGATGGTTCTTCTTTGGCGAATGGTAAATCAAATTCAAGGGCAGGTTATGCTGTCGTATGGCCCAAATACGCTCATTTAACAAAGTCAATTACTGTGCCTTCCAGTCAACCGCAAACAAATAACCGTGCCGAGTATTTGGCTGCTCATACGGCTTTGAAACAGGCTAATGAGATTGACCCAGATTTAAAACAGAAACTCTACGTATTCACTGATAGTAAGTTACTCATTAACAGCGTCACATTGTGGATCAAATCTTGGAAGCGCAATGGCTGGAAAACCTCTCAGAGTGGGGCTGTTGAGCATCAAGATTTACTGAGAGATATTGATCTAATGTGTTCCAAACGAACAGTTGTTTGGCATCACGTTAGAGCGCATACAGGCGGTTCAGATTGGAAGTCTCGATGGAACAATGAGGCTGATGAGCTCGCAAAGAAGGCTGCTTCTCAGATCGCTTAGACTTATTTATTAGATTTTTTCCATTTATACAGCCTTTTCACAGTGCGCCTTGTATGCTGCGGCATCCATCATGGAATCCAACTCTGAAGGATCCGACAACTTAATCTTTGCAAGCCAGCCTTTCTCTTCTGGGCTATGGTTGATGAGAGACGGGTTGTCACTCAAAGTGGTATTTGCTTCGATGACTTCACCAGACACCGGAGCGTAAACATCAGACGCAGCCTTGACACTTTCAACTGCGCCAAGCATTTCCTTCTTCTTAACGGTAGTTCCCTCAGCAGGAACTTCAACAAAAATAACATCACCTAGTGATTCTTGTGCGTAGTTTGAGATTCCTACAGTGCCAATGTCTCCTTCCACAGAGATCCATTCATGCTCTGCGGTGTACTTCTTTGTGGCGTAAAAGCGGAATAGGTTAAAGGCCTGCTTTTGCTGAGCGTTTAATAGGCTAGAATTGCGCGCTGCTAGTCTGAGCATGAAATTTTCAAGTTGCAAACAAAGTTTGAGGTTCCCAAAAAGAGCTTGAAGAGGTTATGTTACAACGACTCAAAGACTGTTACGAAACGATTTACTCCATTAAACGCTTTGCAAACCCACGGAGGAAATATCTTTTGGCTTCATTGACCAGATTAAAGCATCAAGACGAAGATTTTATCTCTCTTGTCTATGATGAAGTCTGGAAGAGGATTTGTGATAACAAACGGCAGCTCGTTATCAAGGCGGTTGGCGTCATTAAGTAGCTGTTCCAGTTCTTCCATTAAAATTTTTCCCAGCTTTTCTTTTTTAGCACTGCTTGCAAACGATGAAGTCCGTCTTGGTAGAATTCGTTCGCCCTGTAAACTAAATAGATGGGAAGTATTAAAGGACCGCACAGATCGATCATTTGACATTTCTCCAAGCGGAAACACGTTCAATGCATCGCTAGTCGAATTAAATTCTGGGCTCTTTTCATCTCTGTGCGTGCTTTGTTTTGCAGTATTAAATTTTGTTTCTTTTCTTGAAAATCCACCAGCATGAGCTCGATCTCTATAAATAGCAAGAGGAACAAAACCATGTAAAAGCGCCAAATGCTTGAAAAGAAATGAGAATGTTTGTCCTGCAAACTCCTTTGGAACTCTAATTTGCTTCATTACCGAACCTTTAATGCCAAGATGCTCATTGAATGAATTCCACTCCTTGTAATGCATTCCACACAATAACTTAATGACTTTAACCAAACCTGGGTTTTTGAATTCCTCAAAAATTAAACTATCGTACATATCTCCGGCGAGGACTCTCCCTGAGGCATAAATAGCAGAGTTTGCATAAAATGCTGGGTCAGTCGTGCTTAGGGCTGGTATCTCTGACTGAGCACTGCCAGCAACCCAAACAGTATCATCTGTTTCTTCATCACTTGAACTAACAGAATTTTCACCGTCCATATTCGGTGGCCCAAAAGACGGAGTTGAATCTGCCTTCTTGTGTGCATAACTCTTCATGTAAGCAAATTTACTATGGGAGAATGATTTCAAAGTGTCTGTGATATCAATTGGTTTGCATGGAAAAGGAACATGTTCCATTAATCGAGGCAGCTGATCCAACATCTCGAATTTAGCTCGCATGTATTTGATGTTTCTCTTTGAGATCAATTCTGTAATAACATACTTGTCCCGCGCCATGAAATCGATTTGGTGTGTTGCCATAATTGCCTGGCTGTCTGCCAAATGTTCACTTGTTTTTGCTTCTTGTCCAGTAGACACTTGTTTCATGACTATAACACAGTAAGCATTAAACAAACCAGCTTTGATTAGATAATTTCTTTTCAATGGGCTGCCTTGCATGTAGTAAACTTTCGGGAAAACAGAAAGAGGTCTCCATTGTTCTTCAGTAGGTGCATTCGGACAAAGAATTAGAACAGGTTTGATATCATCGGCGTTGATAAATGCAAGCCTTACAGAGCAGAGATATGTCCACACGTCATATGAAGAAGTGCAAAGTATGATATGGTCTTGCAAATTCGTCCTACCGTTTCTGAAGAGAGATTCCATGTCATTTACTCTTGTATGTATTTTGACATCTGCCTTTTTAGTAGGAACTCGAAGCAAATGACACAATGGGCTTCTAATATGCCCATCTCTAGCGATATGATGTGGTGGCCATGGGTGTCCCAAACACATAGCACCTTCTGCGCTTTTATGGCCATATTTTATCTCCGTCGTAGTACCTTCGCTGTTTCGTCGTTCTCTGTGACGATTTGGCAGAGTGTTATGATTATTGTTGGCATTTGAAATGGTATCTTCTTGATTCTTCACTGAATGATGCAAGCAGTGGCAGTTTACTTCCCCCGACTTCATATTTTCTTCCAAGTTAACTTTCATCAACAGCTCTTCCTTAGAATTATTAGGATTCCACTTTTCCCAAATTGACATGAATTGTTCAGGTGTCATGAATTCCAAGTCAGTCACATCATCAAATGAATTTGCGATAAAGATTAGATCCTTGATGCATCCAGATGCAGGAATCACATAATCTGAACCAGGATTCAGAACTACGTGTTCTTTCAAAGTATACGCATTCTCGGAATTAAACGACGTACTTCTAATGTTCAGTTTCTTTAAATTAATTGCTGCTGGTATTCTCATCCTTAGTCCAACGAGTATCACTTGAAACTCGGCATACAAAAACCAAGCCAACTCTGCGAATTTTTTCCCACAGAACAAATCATTAAATGGTGCAGTTATGATCTTATTGTTAACAGAATCAGCGTAAACCGAGTGCCAAGCGGTCTTGATTTTGTTTAAAGGCTTTGAAGTGTGAACTAGGTTAGTGATGACGGCACAGCCGCCTTTGTACATTGAAGAGTAGCCCAGCAAGATTTGCCTTAAAGAACCCATGCAAACAACACCTCTGCAAACCGGATTTATGTGAATATTCGTTTCAGGCTTCAAACTTGTAACATACAAAGGAACTCGAGGAGCAAATCTCTTCATGCCCCAAACTTTAAGAACTGTCTCATTGTCTTCACCAAATGCGGCATCTGTATTTATCGCCTTAGCTCTATCCGCAATAACAAAACATGCAGACGCTTTTGAGAATGCAACTCTGGCTAAGTCCCCATCGTCATGCGAAGAGCCTTGAATAAAAGTTATCCTGGAGGCGTAAACTCTAGACGCGAGCATGGCCTTCACATTGTTTGACGGAGCCTGAGTAGCTAACACCACAATTTGATACGATACAGAGTTCAGGTGAGAAGCACTAGTTGTGTTTCTGTGCTTGTCAGACGTAACCACAGGCGATGTTGCATCAGTAGAATCGCCCATACTATCATGAATACCAGAAGAACGACCAAGTATTGCAATTTCATATGGGGACTTTTTCTGTTTCAGAGCAATGCTGCGGTTTGCCGTTAATTCCATCAAAGCTGAGTCCAAAATCTCAAGAAATGTCTGATCTTCCTCGTACGATAATGTAAGAACAATAAACGGAGTAGATCCAGGTATATGAACAGACTGCCCTTGTTTCTTTACCTGATAAGTTTCTAGAATCTGCTGAATCGAGCGCGGAAAGTAAATGATCGCAATGAGAATGCTGCAAATGATTGCGATTTTACTGTATGGATTAGTAGGAGAAATATCTCCATAGCCAACCGTGGAAAATGTCACTGCTATGAAATACAGAGAACTCACAAACCCATAATGCATACCAGAGAACATTAACTCCAAGTTCTGAAATAGACACATAGCGGTAAATAGGTAAGCACACATCGACATGGCAATAAGCACCAGGAGAACTGATAACCGATCAAATACGTTAGGATGCTTCTCGGATTCCATGTACAACACAACTTTAAGCTTCTCTACAAACGGCCAACATCGCAGATACATTGGAACATTGAAATATTGTCCGTAAGGAAACCACAGCGATATTAAAATGGGGTAAACTGTTAAAAGATCAATAAAAGTCATCCAATTCAATATAATGTGTGTTAGGCGCACGGATATGACAAGCTTTCCAAAGAATGACAAAACCACATAGAACGACAGGACCAAGTTGGAAACATAAAGCCAATATGCTCTTTGAATGAGAAAAGGATTTCCATTATATACAGAAAGTGCTTGTTCTATCTCAACTGCACTAAGGACGGACAACGTGAAGTCCACAACCATATCCATTATTAAAATTGCGAGCACCACCTCCTGTCGCCGTACTTGCTGTACTAGCCATTCAAAGTAATAACTAGCCATCGTTC